GCATATCACTTCTAAGTATCGCTGGCAAAATTCTTGCTCGTGTTATTCTCAACAGAATAATCAAATATCTCATTGACAACATCTATCCCGAATCTCAATGTGGTTTTCGTTCAGGTCGTGGAACCATTGATATGATTTTTTTTTCACTTCTCTGTGAATGTTCACAAGAAGAACCATGAATTCTATACCGTCTTTATCGATCTGACCAAAACGTTTGACACTGTAAACAGAGGTGCCCTCTGGAACGTACTCAAAAAGCTTGGCATACCTGAAAGTATGCTAAATGTCATCATCTCGTTTCACGAAGGAATGAAAGCATTTGTTCTATCTAATGGAGAGTTTTCAGAAACCTTTGATGTAACAAATGGCACAAAACAAGGTTGTGTCATGGCTCCTGTACTTTTCACTCTCTTCTTTTCGGTCATGCTGCACCAATGCTTGTAGTGATCTTGACATCGGTGTAAAATTTGAATTTCGCACAAGTGACAGCCTCTTTAACCATCAACGTTTTAAATCAAAATGGCTGACTCAAGCAAGCATTATTCGTGATATTTTGTTTGCTGATGACGCTGCGATCGTGGCCACTTTAATGGAAGAAGCTCAAGCACTCGTCAATCGTTTTTCCTTCGCTTGCATCGCATTCGGATTAATTATAGGCATAAAGAAAACTGGAGTTGTCAATCAACCAAGGCCTACACCTAAGAAAGTCAAGGGTGTAAAACAAAAACCATCTGCCCATACCTTACCAATTGTTCCCATTACTATTGGTAGCAACAACCTGAAGCATGTGAAATACTTCTCGTACTTAGGAAGCAAAGTCAATTCAGGTACCTCTTTGGATGACAAAATAGTTAATAGAATATCAAAGACAACCAATGCCTTTGGGAAGCTTAAGCATCGCCTATGAGATGTTGAAAATGAAAATCTGTGTCTATTGTGTAGTCATTCTCACTCCACTTCTTTAGGGGTCAGAATCGTGGATGCCATACAGAACACATATCAATCAACTTGATGCTTTTCATAAATGCTGTCTTCGTTCAATATGCGGTTATACACGGCAGGACAAAATCTCTAACCCTGATCTTTTCATCAAATATGGTGTTGGTGGCATTGAATCCTTTCTGATGCAATCACAGTTCAGATGGGCTGGTCATGTCATCAGAATGAGTGATGATCGGATGCCGAAAATCCTCATGTACAGCCAACTTTTACATGGTAGGCGTAATGTAAGCTGTCCTTGGTTATGCTTCTAGGACAAACTTAAATACAATTTAGTTACTGCAAACATCCCTATAGAGGAGTTCAAACTCGCTGTTGAAAACCGAGCAAACTGGAGAAATACCTGCTACCGAGGTATAACTAACTTTGAAAAGAATCATCTCAACCATCTGAGAGAATTAAGAACCAACACTAAATCTCAGGCTAATATATCAGCCCATATGATGGTCAACCCTTCAGTATGCCCTTCGTGTGGATTTGTTTGCAAATCCCTTGCAGGATTGTTGTGTCATACGAAACAAACAAAAACTAAAACTGAAAGACACTCATACGTCGAAAACAACGGGAGAGTCAATCATATATATATATATATATATATATATATGAGAGAGAGAGAGAGAGAGAGAGAGAGAGAAATCGATGCAGATGAATTTCATAGATTGAGAGATATGCATTGGCATTTCCTAAAAAAATGCGAAAAAAAGAAATGAAGAAAGAGAGAAAATAAGAAACATGAAAGAAACAAGAACCAAAAAGAAAGAAAAAAAAGGAATAAAGAAACAATCAAACAAAAAAGAAAAAAACAAAGAAACAAAGACACAAAAAAGAGACAAAGAAACAAAAAGAAACACAGAACGAAACAAACAAAACAAAGAAACAAAAAACCAATGAAAGTAATAATCAAAAATCAGAAAGAATGAAAGACAATGAAAGCAAAAAAAGGAAAGAGCGTAAATGAAAAGAAAGAACGAAAGAAGCAAAGAAATAAACAAAGAACGAAAAGGAATAAAAAGAAACGAAACAATCAACGAAACAAATATAAAAAAAACAAATATAAAAAAGAAACAAACTGTTGTGGATTCCGTGAATGGAATCCTGCACAAATAAATAAACAAGGCCAGTAATTGAGATAGAAAAATAAGTGTATTAAACGTAAGAATACAGACGTGAAGTGAAGATTAGTAGTCCAGGAACGAGGGTTAGTAGAAAGTATATGTACAAGTCTCAGTAAGTAAAGCCGTAATCAATATATATATATATATATATATATATATATATATATATATATATCTGGACTCTTGTATAACTCTCTGAGAACACCCTGTGTCTGTCTCCCTATCTCTTTGGAGGAGTCCATCTTATGTAAAAAGGGGAAAGCCCCACAACACAAACAATGAAAGAAACAAAGAAAAAGAAACAAAGAAAAAGAAACAAAGAAAAATAAAAGAATCAAACAAAAAAACTTTTGTTTCTTTGTTTGATTGAAACTTTTGTTTCTTTGTTTGAACGAAAGAAACTAACAAAATAAACAAACAAAAAACGAAAGAACAAAAGAAAGAAAGAAAGAAAGAAAGAAAGAAAGAAAGAAAGAAAGAAAGAAAATGAACAAAAATGAAAATATCTAATAAAAAACGTATGTGGTGCACTTATAGAGAAAAAAAAAGGGGAATAAAAGCATGTTTGATTCCTTACCAATATTCAAAGACTTTTTTAAAATCCTTTCTTGTTCAGATTTGACAAATCGTTGTTTCGTCTTAAAAAAGCAACTTTTATTTTATCCCATCTTTACCGATTACTTTCCATATTTTTGGGGGTTTTTGTTTTTGTTTTTGGTCTTTTCCACCATTGATTTGGCTTAACTTTTGAACTGTTCATTTCTCTTTTTCTGTTTTTTATTATTATTATTATTTTTTTTTTTTTTTTTTGCTTGTCAGGTGGGGACGCAGCAAGAGATTTGAGTTCGTAGGAGAAAGAACAGAGAGAGCATGTACAATGCTTAATCCTTTCCAAACTAGCTGTTATTGCGATTGTCATTAATTCTGCAGGGTTTCCCCGTCTTGTTATCTTATGCTATTTATAGTTACAACACTCCCCATACCCACACACATATATATATATATATATATATATATATATATATATATATATATATATATACACACACACACTAGCAGGATAGTAACAATTTGAATGGGAGGTCACCCTGAGAAGGGCCGTTTTTTTTGTTCTTAATCTTGCAAGGAAGGAACCTCTTCCATGGACCGGCATAATAATAATATACGATAATTTTTATTTATAATATATATTTTTTATAACTCTAATAATTTTTTGCGTTAGATTTCAACTCTCTAAATAGATTGTACGCTTTGTTTTTTTTACAGACATTAAATTTTGCCTTTGATTTTGGCGCAAAGTGTAAAAGATCATTTTTTTTCGAATTTTCACCTTCAAGGTTGTAATTTTTTTCCAGTCAATTTGGATTTAAAACCGACACTGAAGAATTATCTATCAAACAAAAACATTTGCATCGAAATCGGATGAAAACTGTGGAAATGCATAATGAACATCCGATCACACCCACACACACAAACATACATGCATAGATACACACATTTTGAGAATTATATATATATATATATATATATATATATATATATATATATATATATATATATATATATATATATATGACCAAGAGTTTAGTACGACCCGGGTTCGAATCTCTCCATATCCGATAAGAAAGATGACTTGCTGACGTTATCTGTCTGAGGAGACCCTCCTAGCGTGAGACGCCATTAGAACGTGCCTGAAAACCATATGAAGTGTTGATCCGGTCCTTGTGAGTGAAATAGGATTAGACGGAAATGCTTGTCGACGATTGTGCTAGCTCGTAGTCACAAGTCATCGTGACTGAGGGTTTGCAACGTACTGGCCTTGTTAAATCAGTTGATCACGCCAGATTATGCGTTCTCCCCGTGACTTAGGTCTGCACATAAGAATAGCGGTCGTAGAAACCACAGATGAGCTCTGTGCGTGTTGAACAAGCACAAAGGTGCCTGGACCCATTTTTGTTTCTTCAACAGGAGTAAACTCGAAACGAGCAGCCAGTTATATGTATATTACCAATATATATTACAGTTGCCCGTTATATATATATTACCAATATATATATTACCGGATTACCAAGATCTTCGTTACTGATATATATATATATATATATATATATATATATATATATATATATATATATATATATATAAGTAACGAAAATCTTGGTAATCCGTATGGATAATCTCAAGGAAGATGAAATCCGGAGAGCTCAATGGAGAGCTTGGTGAAATAAATTTTAACTAATGGAACCTTAAATTTATCTGTTTTTCTTTAAATTATATATATATATATATATATATATATATATATATATAATAAATCGATCTTCTCCGTCGGGTTCGACGTAAGAGGGTCAAGCAGATCAGTTTCCAGGAAACCGACAACCCGACACCGGCACATGAGAATTGATTATAGTGGTGAAGGCCTTGTGCAGGACCATCCACACTTTTTGAAGGGACCAACACAGAATACCTGGTGCACCGAATGCCACAAGGTTCCCCAAACGACCCTCCGCAGGTTTTGAATTCAAAGTTGTCCTTCTCCTAAACCAGTTGCCATCCAAGGCTATAGAACCCTGTCCGATTTTACCCAATAATTTATATATATATATTATATATATATATATTATGTTATTTTTAATAAAACTGTTTGTATATTTTATAAAAACAAATATTTAAGTAAATTTTGTGTTTATAATAAACAGTATTAACAACATTTACTGGCCTGAATGGCCGAGAAATTTCATAGAAAATATACGCCCTCCGACAGGAATCGAACCTGTATCCTACACAGAACCGTAATATAGCGTGATGTGATACAACAGACAATGAACGCCGATTATATCTGATCATGAACCGTTTTAATGTTCGTATGTTTGCTTTAATTTCGAG